CAACCAACCAACCAACCAACCAACCAACCAACCAACCAACCAACCAACCAGCCAACCAACCAACCAACCAATCAACCAACCAACCAACCAACCAACCAACCAACCAACCAACCAACCAACCAACCAACCAACCAACCAACCAACCAACCAACCAACCAACCAACCAACCAGCCAACCAACCAACCAACCAACCAACCAACCAACCAACCAACCAACCAACCAACCAACCAATCAATCCACAACAATATTAATTCCTTATTTAATTATCCATCAATCCATCTATCCAACCATCCGAATAACAATCAACCAATTCCCAACAGCCAGCCAACAAATACAAACAGACGGCACTAACATGATGTTAGCCTTGTGGACAGCGGTCACCTTCTTCCTGCCGTGCTGCACAGCGTAGTCGAATGCAAATCTGGCAATTCGCTGGGAGTTGGTTTTGGTCACAATCTTCAAGGATTCAATCACTCCTGGAACACTCTATTGGGAACGTATTGGGAATTTGGGATTGATTGACTGACATATTCATACTGAAAATTTGTTGATTAGTTCGACATAGACACATCAATAAACACGCACACGCACACACGCGCGCACACGAACAAACACACCTCATGTTCTAGGGCACTGTACTCTCCCTCAATTGACTCCCTGATGATGACAATGTCAAGGTTGTTGTGGCGAGTTTTAATGCCCTCCATACTTTTTATGTGCACCACGTTTGCAAATAAATCTAATGCTTTCCTGTAGAAGTGCGAGTGTGTGTGCGTGTGTGCGAGTGTGTGTGTGCGTGTGAGAAACGAAAACATTCCTGTATTTACGCAAAAACTAGTACCTGATTTTCATGTTCAGTGTCATCAACAAGCCACCTGGCAGGAAAAAGATGGAAAGAAAAAAATTTATGAATCTTTACGGCAAGTTTCCACACAAATTTATTAAACTAGAAATTTAATAGAATAATGAAAAAATAGTCCAAAATTTAAAAATTTAATGGCAAGCCAATTAAAAAATTATGAAAAAAAAATTATGACACCATCGAAATGTATTGGGGAAGCAATGATGCCCTTGAGGCAGACTTTATTCCTCTGGCACGACTCGATGACCACATCTGCATTGGCCTTCAATCCAGTTTGAACTTCACTAATTTCAAAATTTGAGAAATATGAAAAAAGGTTTTTATTTTAAAGAATAAAAAAAAAAATTATTTATTGCATAAATTTAGCTGTATGAAGTATCAAACACCCACACACAAACATACACAACAAACAGATTCCAAACAATTACTGCAATAGTGATTACCTAACTTACCTAACATAAATTTCCTCAAAATCCACCGGAACCCCAATGGCTGAAAAGACATCCTTAACGGAGGTCATCAACTCTGGCCCCACTCCATCTCCTGGAATTAGTGTAACCCTTTTTCTTTGCACATCCGTCTGACACTAATAATTTTAAAATAAAACATTGCATAATCACAAAAATTTAGAAAAAACAATTTGATAAGCTTGAAATAGTAAATGATTTTTAGTTTTTACCTATAGTAGAACTATTAAATTTAAAGTTTTTAAACCAAAGTAAAACAATTAATTTTATTTGTCTCTTTCAAGTTTTAATATAAAAAAAAGTGATAATACTTATTATATAATCATGAAATTTTAATTATAATATTATAATATAATATTGTAAATACATTATTATTAATAATTATAATACAATTAAAATTAAAAAGAATAATAAATATACTTGAACCTGCAAAATTCTTGAGGTTGAAAGATATCTGACACTGTTGCAGTAATTGTTCAGAATCTGTTTTGTTTTTAATTAAATTAAAAAGTTAGTGAATGGAGCAATGTAATGAAATAGAAATAAATAAATAAAAATTATTTTAAAATGTTGAAAAAAGAAAAAAGCAGCTAGTCAGCATCCTATTTGAAATGGAAAAAAATTTGAAAAAAAATTGAAAAAATTCTACTTTTATTGAAAACGATAATCTCCGGATCCCTTGCAAGCCAAACAAAACCATGATATCAAATAAATATGGGAATTAATTACTGATCAATCGGAAAATTTAACGAAATAATTGAATAATTATTTTTATTTATTTTAAATTTATTTTAAAAAAAGGATTTAAGAGAGGATCGGTTTTGTTTTTCAGTAAAATTTTATTATGAAGATTTTTTCAGGCATGTTAATGAGCCAAACGAATTTACAATAGAAGTCAGAAAAACAAAAAAAACTAATCAGAACTTGTTATAAAGCGTTGGAAAGAATATTTAAACCTGAACATAACGGTATACAACATGTATTGGTACAATGCTTTGTAACAGGTCAAAGTGTAGTCTAAAACCAAACACATCCACCATGAGCAAATTTCCAGTTCTGGTAACTTTTTCCACACTAACATTAAGACCATACGACTCGTCAAGATTTGTTATATACCGTTGAAAACAGTAATGAACCTTTACCATAGTGCTGTTACAGCATGTAACGCTTTGTGTCATGTCTTTTACCTGTTACAAGGAGTTGTTCCTATGCATATACATCGAGTAATATAAAAATCATTATATCATTGCAGTTTGGTTTGCATACACACAAGAAACAAATATTAGCAATGACAAAGGTACGCACGCATAACTGGTGATTGTGACTGAAATACGTTAAATGGAACGGATGGATCTCAAATATTTATATGGAGGAATCAGAAATTTAATGAGAGGAGTTTAAAAAATATATGAGAGGATTTAAACGTTTGCAGGCAGGAAAAGATTTGAAATTTTTCATAAAGCCATAACTTAACACAAAAAATTCTTAACGTTGTTCTTATTGCTTTCAACAAACAGTTGATAAAATGAGCAATGTTCTTTGAGCTAACTTGCACATGCGATAGCAGTTGTCTCTGTGCTCGAAAATGATCAACGCGTAAAAGCCAGTCCCACACAAATTTTTCTCCATCTATGCCACCAATCCAGATCATCATCGGTGTTGCAGCATTGTAAAACAAGGGCACTTCAAAACAGAACCAACATAACAAACGAAAGAAGAATAAAAAGTTGATCTTTTAAAATGGATGCCATTTATTTTAAAGAACATTTGCAAGCTAAAATTAGCATCGAGAAGCATGCATTTCATTCCAATCTTCACTGGAAAACATTTCCCAAAACCCTTGACACCTTTAAAATGGAGAAAGGATGGATGAATTCCCTTCACTCAATTCATTCTTTATTTTTCTGAATTTTTTCAAATTTTTTCGTCTGTGGGATGAAGGTTTCGAACGTAAAAAAAGGATTGATGGTAACAGAAATTAAAGCGCAATATATTAATAATTGGAGTATTAATTTGAAATAATATTACTAAAAAAATACGAAGAATTAACTGGATAGGTCGTTTGTTTTAATCGAATGCATGGCTTTTAACAAGTGAGACAACATAATGAATGTAAAAAAGTAACCCACCAAGGTAGAAAGAAGAGGAAGTAGAGAAAAGCAGAGAGAGAAAACAGAAAAATGGAGAGAAATAAAAGAAGGAAACTGAGAGGTGGAGAAAAAAAAGAAAAGTAGACAGCAAATAGGAAGAGCTGAGTTTTTCAAAAGTCAGCATTAGAATATTTAAATTACATTTCCACGCAGCCAGCGATACCCACCTGCTCATTTGCAGAGAGGAGGAAGCAACAAACTCATAAACAAAATTAAGGACTGCATTTTAAGAGCAAACAATTGAACAATTATGGTTTAAAAATTATTATCAAGAAACGAACGAACAAACAAATGAACGAACACGTAAAAAAACGGACGAACGAACACGTAACAAACGGATGAACGAACACGTAAACAAACGGATGAACGTATGAATAAAAGCACAAATAAACGAATAAACAAATAAACAAATAAACGAAAAAACAAATAAATCCACAAGATAAAAATTTTCAAAGGAGCGAACAGGTAGAAATAAAATTCAACAAGTCCTCACAGCATCTATTATTTAAAAATTCATTTTTTCGATCACTGAATTATCATGAATGTCAGTCAGTACGTGCTTGCCCCATTGGTACACGTGCGTGTGTGCGTGTGTGTGTCCGTGCGTGCGTGTGTGTGCATCCTACCACTGAAGCATTGTCATGGTGATGTAGGTAAGTAAGTGTACAATTAACATCGTATATTTCTCTTTTTTGCATGCCGAGTTAGAGTTTTCTCTTTCTCTTCTCTTCTCTCTCTCTCTCTCTCTCTCTCTCTCTCTCGCTCTCTCGCTCTCTCTTTTTCTTTCTACGTTTTATTCTTTTTCGTTTTCTTTTTCATTTTTCTTTTCTTCCATCTTTTTCTATTTTCAATCTCTGCTTGCTTCCTTTCTCGGATATAATTCGTAGACTTTATGATTTTACCCACACGTGTATGAAAGCTGTGTATTGAACGAATAAAAGAGGTGAATAAACATTTGAAATAATATTTGACATCAAGTCATTAGCGTCATCACCATCGTCGTCATTAATGCTCAACTCTTTTCGATTGCTTATATCATCACTATTATCACAATCATCATACATACATACATGCATGCATGCATACATACAAACATACATACATACGTACATACATACATACATACATACATACAAACATACAAACATACATACGTACATACATACATACATACATACATACATACATACAAACAAACAAACATACATACATACATACATACATACATACATACATACGTACATACATACATACATACATACATACATACATACATACATACATACATACATACATACATACATACATACATACATACATACATACATACATACATACATACCAAGATACACAAGCCAACACATGTGCATGTAAATATGAATCTCTAATTAAATTTTTTTACACTCATCCTACGGAGAAGTAATTAAAAAAAAATTTTCCTTCCCTCATTCTATCATCCTTTGTTCATTCATTTATCAATCCATCCATCTATCTATAAGTTTTATTAATAAATCTTTTTCTACGAAATTCACACACTCACACACACAAAAACACACACTCACATACGCACACACATACATGTATAAACGAGATGTAAAGTATGTTACCTAAAATGACGTAAACAAAGGTCAAAAAAGGTCAAATGTTTTAAGGCTTTATTGGATTTTTTCATTAAAATAATAAACTTCAGGAGAAAATAATTTTTCTTCTGTAAACAAAACGAAATCACGCGATAGTTTCAACGTGAAATGTGTCGGGTGGAGTTGAAAAAATGAAAAAACTTAAATGTAAGTCAGAGTTGGGCTATAATGACGACGATGATGACGAAGAATGAAAAGTAAAATAACTTTAAGGATTGTGTATTTACACTTTTCCATAAAAAAAGTACCGCTATGTTTAACTGTTGTTTAATGAAAATGTTAAAAAACACACACATACACACAAATACGCATACAGAATATTACACACACACAAATAGAGATACAAACACACATACACATACCGACAGACAAACACAGAAACGCATACAGTGGCGAATCTTGACGGGCCTGGGCCTCAATTTTTTGGTAGAAGTCAGAAAAAGTCACACTACCTACCACAAATCTTGGCCCACCAACGTAAAAATTTTGCTTCACCCCCCATCGACGGCTGTCTAGATCGGCCAGTGCAGTGTACACACATCTCAGATTAAGTTCTAAATTCAACATCATCATCATCGTCATCATTATCAGCAATATCATTATAACGGAGTTGTTAATGACGGCAATATGGAGTGAGAGTGCGCAGGTTCGAACGCAGGCGCGAGCACACACGCCGATGCTAATTATATATATATGCGCTCATTATCCCTGATCATCATTATTATCATTATTCTTATCGTCATCACAATCACCATTATCATTATCTTTATCAACATCATCGTCCTTACCGCAATCATCATCAGGATAATGATTAGAATTTTCGTCATCACTGACATCACCTTCATGGTCATCATCATCATCCTCACAAACTCCATTAGCTGTACCTCCATCTAGCTTGTATTACCGCAGGGAATTGGTTAATGTAATATTATATATATATATATATATATATATATATATAGTACATATATACGTATATATATATATATATATACAGTATTGTAGTATGAGTTCTACCAAATTGTTGGCATTAATCAATTTAAAGTTTGTATTTTTCAATTTTCCTTACTAGAATTTTTTTTAGAAATTGATCAATCTATTGAAAAAAGATTTATTATTATCCAAGTTGATCACGATGAGGAAATATGAAAAGACGAACTTTAAACTAATAGATGCCAAAAATTCGGTAGAATTTATAAAATACTGTGTGAAATATGGTCTCCTTCCAACATATTTATATAAATAAATATATATATATATATATATGTGTGTGTGTGTGTGTGTGTATGTGTGTGTTTGTGTATGTGCGTGTTTGTGTGTTTGTGTTTGCGTAAATATGCGTGCGTGTCATTATTAAAATGATGCTTAAATTGAGGTTCAACTAACAATGGCTATGGTGAAATTATGAATGAGGAAATGATGAAAGTGGTGATGATAATGATGATGATATTAATAATGGTGTGATGATGATGATGATGATGGTGAGGATAATGATGTGATGATGATGATGACGAAGGTTGTAACAATGATATTTGCCTGAGAGTAAATCCTGCTATCAATAAAATATGTATGGCCGTCCACACATTTTGTTTACTCAAACACCAACACACACACACACACACAGACATGTACACACACGCACACACACACCTACGTAGAGACATACATACACACGCATACATAAACACTTACATACATATTAGTCTACAAAGACTGACCCACAGACACGCACCTATCTGCAATTGTATGCGAGCGCATACATAAACACACATATCCTACACGCACATACAAAATATGTTTATGTATACAAACTTTTGTATATATACAAATCATTCCAAAACACAAAACATGTATTACCTTTCACGAGCTAACATTTTTTCCATCAAGTTTTTCTCTATAATTGTTTTTCATTTTTTCAAAAAATACTTGAATGTAAGTGTATTTGGATGTATGCTTGCAAGTTTGTTTGTAAGTATGCATGTATGTATGTATTCACAATAACACGCTTCG